CTGTCAAATGTAGACAATTTTTGTAGTTATTAATTATTAGCAAGGTTCAACAAACAGCAATAAGATTAATGACACAATTTATCTGGGAGATTATTCACCAAAGTAAATCCCCATCACTTTTCCCAAATGACCCCCTGAACAGCTCTAACATCTCAGATGAATGCTACAATGCTGTGCTGGAGTGTTATCTTAGATTATATAACAATAGTAATAATAATCTGTGAATTTGAGATAGGACCTTATCATGTCGTTAAGACTTCTCAAAGCACTTTAAAGAATATATTGTAACGTGAATTGACTATATATTTTGTGGGTGAAATGCGGCAGCCAATTGCGTTACAGCAGTGTCCCACAAATAGTCATGGAATGAGTGACCAATTTTCTTTTATTACCCCCGGAAAGTGATCCGCTAATTGACTAAGAACCAAGTTCCTACTTATTGCTAAGGTAAACAAAGGTGTATATTATAAGGAAATTTGCTTAGGGTTTTGCCCCAACTGGGAATCGAACCGGGGTCCTCTCGTTTGCAAGGTGGGTGTGTTAACCACTATACTACGGGAGCTTAGGACTTGATGCAGGGGCTTGAATTCATCTATTGACCCAAAGGTGAGGTGTTCCACCTAGTGAATGGAATCTAAACACACACACACACACACACATCACCACACCAGCCGCTAAGCTCGGCATACAGACTGCAAATACAGAGAATGTAAGAGAATCACGCGATGAAGTAAAGGTAGCAGCTTTGTCACATGCACCCACAAACCAGAGTTTTCCTCATTATAAACACACCATGAAAGTAGACAATAAAGATCTCGTGATGCTGTTGGGGGAAAAAAGAAAGGAGTTTCTCCCGGTGTCCTGGCCAACAACCATCCAGATAAATTCCACTATGGTGTGCACAGCAGTGAGGCTGCCCGTATGATAATAATACTAATAATTCTACGGAACAAAGCACAGAAAAATGTGTGCATTAGAGAAGAAAAAGCACTGTTGTCCAAATGCAAAACACACATATAATAATAATCCTTGCATTTGATATAGCGCCTTATCACTTTGTTGCGACGTCTCAAAGCGCTTCACAGCGCTTTGTACTATGAAATGGGTTGATTGTGTATCCTGTGGGCTTGTGTTTCAGTTTCAATCCACAAACGAGCTAACACCACCATATTGACCTCAGTTTCCTTTGCCCATTAGCTACCAAAGATAACAAGCGCTGCAGTGTGAATCTGGGCACAAATAATTTGGTGGGAAATGGTCCTGACCAGCTGAAAGGGTTAAACATTGCTGGAGCGCTAACCTTTGCCCCATATTCGGCTCTGGTTGCTCGGCAAGTAAAATCTAAAGCTATAGCACCAACTAGTGGTCACCACTTTGTGTTGTTCATCAAAAAGTGAAGGCATCTCTTTTAAAAAATGCAATAAAAACACACCCATGAGTGTAACAAAAAAACACGCAATGCCCGCAGAAATCAGCCCCTCGTTTTGCTTCTTGCCCAGCCCTTGCTGTAACGTGCAATGCAAAGCGCTGACACCACCTGCTTCTTCTTTTTTTAAAAAAAACGATTGTAATGTCAATTTGGAAAACATCCATAAACATTAATGTATCAGCAACCTTTTGATTTCCGATGCCCTCGTGCGCGCTCGCACGCACGCACACAAACACAGATCAGATTCATATCAGTTCACCCCTATTTTCCCAATTCAATTTAGATGAAAATCTGGTCAAATTAAATTAAGACATCAGTCTACAGGCGGTTAATATATAATAATAATCCTTGCATTTGATATAGAGCCTTATCATGTTGTAGAGACATCTCAAAGCACTTCATAGGATATACTGTAAAGTGAATGGACTGTATATTTTGTGGGCAAAACGCGGCAGCCAATTGCTCACAGCAGTGCCCCACAAATAGTCATGGATTGAGTGACCAAATTATTATTTGTATACAAAAGTGACCCTGCAATAAACATTTCCCCCTGCTGGCTGCTCGATGCCACTGCTCACCATGCTCATAAATTACACACATAATTTATATATAGAATAACAAAGAATATTTTCTGATGCTGTTGTTCCTTTCCAGTAACGTTTACAAAGTTTTTATTAAAGTTTTTTTTAAAACTCACAATGTTACTTGCGTTTGATATAGCGCCTTATCACGTCGCTGAGACGTCTCAAAGCGCTTGACAGAATATACCGTAAAGTGGAGTGACTGTGTACTGTGTGCATCATCTGTAAGATTGCACAATCAAGGCCAGAGCTGACTTTTCAACTCATGATACAAGGACATTTTGTTTAGAATGAAAAAAAGCGTTCAAAAACGTCCACGAACAGTATAACATGTGACATTGCCTCTGGAACTATCAGGACCTGCCTCATGCAATACTGCTGCGGTTAATTTATCATTGGAACTGCAGTACATCAAACTGAGCAGTAAAACCACTTCTGTAACAAATAAGCTCTATTGAGCCTTTGAGTGGAAGTTTGCTTCAGCGAATAGGGAAAATAGATACCAACTATTTAATGGTAAAATAGTAAACTAACTTTGGTTTCTTTCATGGGTCATAACAATGGCTTCACTGACCATAAGCCTTGCAATGAGTAGGATGCAGATGGCATCATCTAAATCAAATAATACTAGCACAGCCTTCAGCAAAAGCACGGTGCTGCAGTTTCAGCACAATACACATGTGCTGTACGAGCAGAACGGGGAGTCAAGTGTTTAGTTTGTCAATGTTAAAAATTAATAGAATTAAATCTTAGAATTTATAGTATATGGTAACGTAAACAATTATGGATTTCTGTAACTTAGTGGTTAGTCTCTCACCTCGCAAGCAAGAGGACCTGGGTTCATCTCCCCAATCTGCCTCCTTTCTGGCTAGGCTTCAAGTCAGTGTGGAGCTTTGTGACCCCAAGTGAAGCTCACTGTATGAAAGCAAGTGTTGTTGCATAATACGAGAAGATTAATACAACAATACAACACTTACTGACCGAGAACAGTGGTATAAGAGAACACCTCACCATCTCAACACGTTTAATATTTGCACGTGTTTTTTTTAAAAAAAAGACATCTGGTGAAACGGGAAATATTAGAGCAGTGGATTGAAAGACCTTCTGGGCTGTAATTTCCTGTGCTGTGGTTCTCTGGAGACAATATCAATATCTCAATAGGTTTGTTTGCAGTTTATTCCCCGCAGCCTCTTCATCACCAGTTTTAATTGCTCCTCAGCGACACTGAAAGGAACTCTTAGAGCGAAAAGCTACGCAAATACTGGTGGGGGAAATCCCAGTTTTATTCTCCCGGAATCTAAATTTCTGTTATTTCCTCCAAATTGTTTCTTGTGTGAAGCGTATTTTACAATCATAAATGGACCCAATGAGGGAAATAAATCGTGCATTTACTTGCAAAAAACAAATACACTGTCCTGTAGCATAGTGGTTGGAGTGCTCACATCGAAAGCGAGTGGACCATGGTTTGATTCCCGGGCAGAGCAAAGCTTTAGGCAGGTCTGCTTTCTCCACACGCCCCTGTTTATCCAGCAGTAAGTAGGAACCCGGTTATCAGTTGATTGACAGATCGCTTTTCCAGGGGTAATAAGCCCTCCAAAATTACAATTATAAAAATGATAATTTGGTTGCTCAATCTACCACGTTTGTGGATTACTGCTGCGCGCAATTGGCTGCCGCGTTTCGCTGACAAAATATACAGTCACTACACTTTAAAATAGAAGATATGATAAGGTGCTATATCAAATGCAAGGATTAGTATTATTATTATTATCGTCCAGACTTTTTATTGTGCTTAAAAGTAATGTCGCAAAAACAGGTTGGCACATTACAACAGAACATGAATGGTACAGAAGAGGGACTCAACAGTTACCAACAAAGGATACGAGAAGCTTTTCCAGAAGATGAAATGTTGGAAGAGTTGGAAGAGGTTATTGTGGGCACTTAATCCAAGAGTCTCGACCACTACAACACCGACTGACTGACCCCGAACAATCGTGTAAGAGAACACATCTCCATCTCAACACGTTTAATATCTGCACTTTTTTTAAATGAAAGAATGTGATAAAATGAGGAACACGGAACCTAACTAATGAACTGTTCACATTGTAAATTATAAATGATTCTTTTCACAAAGAGCAACAGTTTCTTTCTTTGTCCTTGGGTTTTGTGCAGCACAAGGGAACCCTGTATCCTGTTTACAGTGTGACACATCACGGCAGAAATCTCACAGAGGTACAGATAGTCGTTGCATTTGGTATAGTGCCTTATCAAAGCACTTCACAGGATTTACTGCAAAGTGGAGTGACTGTATTTGTAGGCAAACTGGCAGCACAATTGGGCACCGCAATGTCCTACAAATAGCCATGGAGTGAGCGACTATTTTATTTGGGGGATTGTTGGTCACGACACGGAGAGAGAAACTCCCTTCTCTTTTCAAATCGTGCCATGGAATTTTTAGCATCCACCTGAAAAGACTGGCTGGACCTCGGATTAGGATGACACCTCTGACAATGCAATACCCCACTCCATTTCATTGGCGCGTCAGCTGATTCCAAATCCCAACTTGCACACACAACCTCCTGACTCAGAGGCGGGAGTGCTGCCACTGACGAGAGGATTGTCTTAGACGTATATTTTGCTGAGTTTCCTGACATATTGTTAATATTTCAGTCAAAACTGAGATAGAAACAGTAAAATAACTGCTACAAATTGGAAATCCTCCTGGGATTGAGCATAACCATAAACGGAGAAAGTGCAGAACGCACGCTGGCCGACGTGTGAAAATAATCTGCAACAACAACTTGCATTTATATAGTTTGTGAACTACATTCTCAGCCAGTTTATGCTCCATCACGCAGGGTAGTCTCAACACTGCAACCATGATACTGACGGCAGTGGCTGGCCTGTGACAGTAAGCTCGGAGATAAAGAGGAGGAGAGGGGTGAGAGAGAGAGAAAGAGAAACAGATGGAGAGACTTAAATTCACTCACCTAATTACGAATCTTGAAGTAAACCGGTTAACGTTTTTCACTTTCAGCAAAGACTCTTCAGGAATCTGAATAAGGGTCAAAAAGAGAAAATGGTGAAGCAGTCTCAATTATAACGTATGAACTATGAATTCAGAATGTTTCTACGCATAATCCCTATTCCTCTACAACAGAGAGAAGAAACTTGGAACGATTTTGAACTCGCCTTCCTTGCCAGACCAGCCCCAGCCCTGAGCATAACGGCTGCAGTTTACCTCCCATCCCACACTGATTAGTTTGTGAACTACATTCTCAGCCAGTTTATGCTCCATCGCAGGAAAATTCACAAATCGTTTGGCAAGTTTCCTTATCCACACGCCTCTGTTTACCTGGCAGTAAGTACGAACCCGGTTGTTAGTCGATTGGCACATCACTTTTACGGGGGTAATAATCCCTTCCTTCCATCCATCCATATATACATAATAATTTGGTCAATCATCCATGACTCTCTGTAGGACACTGCTTATACGTAATTGGCTGTCACGTTTCACCCAGAAAATACAGTCAATTCACTTTACACTGTATTCTGTGAAGGGCTTTGAGCCGCCTCAAAGACATGATAAGGCGCTGTAGCAAATGCAAGGATTATCATTATTAATTTCAAAGTCACAGCAATTAGTTTGTAGTACCATGGCACAATTTTAGCCACAAAGGAAGTCAACGACCCCATACAGCAATAAACACACTCCACTGTTCAGGCAAATGTCAAAGTTCCCATGACATTATTTGAAAAGGAAAGCGGCTCTTCCGGTGTCCTGGCCAACAATCCTGCAGTTATAACTTGTCATTCACTCCATGGCTGTTGTGAGGTGCACAAAATAGCTTTGTTGTTTTTCTACATACATACTTGACAGGAGCTCCCTGTGAAATCTGATGTCCAACGAATGCAAAGATAATTATTTTGTTAAAAACGGCTTACGGACTCAGGCGAAACCCTGTATCAAGTTTAAGCGAGTGACTGCGCTGTACTCAACAACAAATTCTGGTGTTTGGCAGATGTGCGAATTCTATATTTTTCGAATCTGGTCTTTGATAATTCTTTTGAACAGTGATAGAAGCAGGCAAGCACATTCCACTGAACCGGCTCATAACGTGAACCATTACAAAAGGACGATAAATGCACATTTTTGCTTCGCCTTTGCTGCTTGGAGACATCACGCTTACAAACATTCTGGGTAAAATGCCAACCGCTGGGACACCAGGAGTTTAGAGCAACGGGGCTGTGCAGGAGGAGAAAAGGGCCTGATGCTACCTGATGCTCTGCTTCCTCCCAGCCACTGAGTGGCGCTGCAACCGAACGCAAAGACAACAACAACAACAACAAGATTCCATTTATAGAGCGCCTTTCACGTCGGGAGGTCGTCCCAAGGCGCTGGACAGTTGGGTCAGGAGTACTGCAGTGCTGTCATCTGCTCGAATGGGCCCTCATCAGCCACAGACAGAGCCCAATCTTAAAGCCTTATCAACATTTGTACGAACGGGTATTAAACCCACTCCTTCAAGGATTACCACCCGTAGCCATGAATTCAAGAAATAAACTAATTTACACTAACATCCAGTATAAATTTTTTATATGCAGTCCTGTAGTGTATTGATTGGAGCCCTCGCCTCGCAAGCGAGAGGACCTGGGTTTGATTCCCACGCGGGGCGAAACCTTAGGCAAGTTTCCTTACTCCACTCCTTATTCTACACACCTGTTCCCCTAGCAGTAAGTAGGAACCCGTTTGTTAGTTGACGGGTAAAAATTCTTCCAGCATCAACAGACGACATTTCAACCCCAAACAAAGGGGTCAGTGAGTTGACGCTGGAAGAACTATTTTTGAAGCAGGAAGTAGACTGTAGCAATGCACACGACAATAACATCAACCCAGCACTGCGTACCTCAAACTCCCGTCTGGGTTTTGCTAACAGTTATTGCATGTGATGATCTACATGGATTAGTAAATGGGGCGAAAAAGTCCAAAAGATGGTAAGATAAATGTTATAAACCAATAAATGTCCTCATACTGACCACGAGACGGGAAGATAAGGCCTGAAATGGGGTTTAAGTGATTACACAGCAGTCTTAACACTAGCTGGGGCACTCAATGTGAGAATGATAGCATGACGAGGAAGATTTGAAAAGAAACTGTCATTGTCACATTTTCTAATAATCCATTCCATTTGATATAGCGCCATATCACGTCATTGAAACGTCTCACTTCACAAAATATATTGTAATGTGAATTGACTGTCTTTTGTGGGCGAAACACGGCAGCCAATTGCGCACAGCAGTGTCCCATAAACAGTCGTGCATTGAATGAACAATCTTTTCAGGTTTTTTTTGAGGGATTATTACCCCCGGTGACGATCAGCCAATCAACTAAAAACAGGGTTCCTACTTACTGCTAAGAAAACAGGCGTTTAGAATAAGGAAACTTGCCTAACGTTTCACCCCACCCAGGAATCAAACCTGGATCCTTTAACTTGTTGGCGAGCGCTTTAACCACTATGGTACGGGACTCATTTTTTTCCCCACAAAACAAAAAGACCACTTTTTATTTAAAACAGTGCACTGTGCGGCTGCACTGAATGTCACAGATACCACATGAATGAACACACAGATACGCATGACTTCTATTCCCTCCCTCAAGCCACGGCTGATTTGCCAGGCACTTAGGGTTATTCGAACTACACGGGTTCCTGTAGAGTTTTACAATTTTCCAATTCCCAACTGCTGTACGACATCAACAGCGAACCAAAATCTCCACACCTTGCCGTAATTTATCCAGAATATTTCACTCCTACAAATTGAAGTAGAATTGACTCATTATGTAACACAGCAAATCGACTGTGTATTTAGAAAATTACAAACCATCTTCCTTTGTGGAGTCCTGTAGAGTAGTGGTTAGAGGACTATGTGCCACTATTTAAAAAGCGAGTTCTCCAAGTGAACTGGGAAATGGGGGGAGACAGAGAGACAGAGAGAGAGAGAGACAGACAGAGAGTGAGACACACACAATCATCTGCTACAGTAAAAACAACCAGGAAGCTTCTCGTTCATCTTTTGCGAGCAGGATAGAAGTTAAGCCAACCTACCAACACGACAACACCGAGACAATAACTCTTCAAAGTAAAAAATGGATAATTATTCTGTTCCCCGCTCTTTAGCGTCAATATCTCACCCTCCTGAAAACGGATATCTCCTCCCTTCCTTTATCCACATAAAGAGTGTGCGCAGGCAATGGGCTCTCTGAGACTGTCTCTCAGGTGGGAGGAGAGCAATCTCCTCTCGGTGTACTGGTTGGAATGAGGAAACCAATGCAAACAGAAATTCAAAAGACAACCAGGAACTAGCATATACCTAACTGCAGGCTAACATCCTTCTGCGTCAGGGCCATCCTCTACAGCCGCTAAAGAAGTCTTTTCTGTGACAGAACAGTTGAATACTGCAGGTAATAGCGTGGTGCATAATGCAGCCAATAAAGGCACTTCAGAGTTTTATCAACTGTGAGAGCATTCACCTCGGAAGAGAGAGGAACTGGGTTAAATTCCTAGGCGGCACGAAATGTTGGGCAAGTTTCCTTACTCCACACGCCTCTGTTTACCCAGCAGTAAGTAGGAATCCGGTTGTGAGTTAATTTGGCATATCACATTTTTGGGGATACAAATGTTTTAATAAATAATAATAATATGGACACTCAATCCACGAGTGTTTGTGGCACACTGCCATACGCAATTGGCTGCCGCGTTCCACAAAATGTTTGACATGTCTCGAAGACGTGATAAGGCACTATATCAAATGCAAGGATTATTATTATTTCCACATCAACCTGTCGCTCCTCATGGCCCAGAAAGCGGGCTGACCCTTGGGAGAAAAGTGTGTTTCACAAGAACAGACACAAACCTGGGCAACGTATTTCCCTAACAGAAGGACATGGGGTTGCGCGAGTCCTTTTTTCCTTGACATTGCACATCAAAAGAATGTCACCCTAATACAAGGCTGCTCGAGAGGCAGCAGCATTCATTCGGCCACAATGGACATACCCACACCCACTGCTCAACTCCAACTGAAAGCATATGGCATCATAGAGTAAGAGAATAGCTAGTTTACTCTGCCAGCACTGAGTTACCCCATAAATGCAAGAGAGACGCTGCTCACATAATCGGTTACCGTTGAGATATAGACTTTTTCATGCTTCATGTCCCTGTAGTTCACATTCCAACAGGGATCAGGGATAACAGTCAGCAGCAATACCCTAAGCTCCATCTGTTTGGTACCCTCACAGAGGGACACAGAGACCAACCCTAGAGGGATACCATGCCAGGGGACCAATTGGTCTGCATGGCTGAATACCACACCAAGCTTTATCTATGCCCTCAACTGGACCGAATATATGAAGACCGGTTGAACAAGATGTTGCTTGATTGTGGTTTGTGAATCACCAGAATAGACCAATTATAAGTTAAACCAAATCCCACAAGCTTATCCCCTACTATGACACGGTTTATTGTAAAGCACCCTCCCACCACCGCTCCCAACAGGGTGGCAGTAATGGGACTTGGCACAGAACCAGGGGTGCCAACCAACACTGCACTAGTGCACCACCCAATGTGTGTGGAACAGAATTAAAAGCATGCTGTCCATCAGATTAGAAAATATCTAGGGTATAAATTGACTTCTGGAGTTTTCTTTTGACCTAATGAAAGTCAGATGAGAAAGTAACTGACAGAGATGTCAATCTGCAATGCCTTCTCACACCTCAAAACCACAATGCCAACAATCAAAACAAGCATCAAGCGACTTTCAAGAGAAAAAATCATCTGAGCAAGTAATCATCTATATAACACAATAATCTGTTTATAATGCTTGACTCATTTAAAAGCCAGAAAGTACCCAATTATAAATTACTTTGCAAAGCTACAAAGTACATATTGGATTTTGCCAATTCGTCAAATATTAGTATTGATATGTAATATCTGATCAACAACGGAATAAACAGAGACTACCAAGAAACCAGCTCAAAACACACCTTGACAGGTAATGTCACTGGGTTGTCACAGTGCAATTGTCACACGGGAAGCTTATTACCTGAACTTAAAACAATTGGATAGGAGCCTCTATCGCTGATCCACAGCAGCTTGAGAAAAACACAGGAGGTTCCTGTGCTCATTAAGCAGCATCACCTGCAGTTTTCACTCCTCTTCAGAAAACTGACATTAAGCTTTCCGGGTCACATGAACCACAACGTGAATAGATCAGCACCTAAGAAATGCCATCATACCAGCACAAAGGCCAGGATTTCTCCACCTAAACCAGAAAGGCATGCACGTTCTTATAAACCTGTCAAACTGGAACACATATTATAACATGACAGCCCATGAAGTGCTCTAACTCAGGTTTATTCTGTTTATAAAGGAGACCCCTCCCACTCAGGAAGCAATCACAATAAATGACATCCAATGCGATGTGCTCCATATGCTGAACATACACCTTACAGTTTTAAACCCTCAGATTCTTCACTAAAACCACAGAAGCAAGAAGCAGCCAAATTCTCCATTCACTAATTATTAGTACATCCAAGTCTCATTGGGGGCAGGGAGTCATCCCACTCATTTAACCATGCAAGCCAAAACCCTAACAGGTAGGGTGGTCCTAGCTGGACAAGCAGCAGGAAACCTTGCCAGACAACAATATCAATGGCAAGCTGTGCGGTTTTAGCTGGTTAGACTCCAGCAGTTACCCCAACGCACGCTCTGGGGTCCCCAAGCCTTGGCGCTTTCGAACCTGCACCGAATACTTTCCAAAATTAGGTACGCAGGAATGCGTCCCTCCAGGGAGAGAGTGCACATTCCATTCCAACAATCTATCTCTGGGATTTCCATGTATAGATGGGATGCGTGGAATTCTCAGCTTGATTTGGATACTCTTAAGCATGGTGCTGGTTTTCCGCATTTGTCAGACACCGGGCTGACCAAAAAAATACATCCAAGTCTATGAGTAAAACATCAACAGGGGAAAAAAAATATATAGCTGTCAACCCTGTAGTCCTGTAGCTCAGTGGTTAGAGCACTCCCTTGCAAGCGAGACACCTGGGTTCAATTCCAGGCAGAGGGCGAAACCTTGGGCAAGTTTCCTTACTCCACACAGAGCCTAACAATAATCCCTCCAAAATAAAAAAATAATAAATTGGTCATTTTTAATCCACGACTGTTTGTGGGACACTGCTGTGCGCAATTGGCTGCCACGTTTTGCCTACAAATATACAGTCAATTCACTTTACAGCATAATCTGTGAAGCGCTTTGAGACATCGAGAAGACATGAAAAGCACTATATCAAATGCAAGTATTAGTTTATTAACCCAACGATCAGCTACAAAATGCAAAGTAAAAACAAAGTGAGAAACAAGAGACTATTCACCTCAAACTTGCTCCTTCCACACATATACTGAGTTACAAAACCCTAGTAAAATATTCATTAAAACTAAAAATGAATGCTCTACAGCTAATAGTTTAATATATTTCTCTCTCACTACCTACCTAATAACTGTAGCTATTTAAATAAACCTGGCTTGCAAAGTTAACAGGAGCTGAGTGGGAAGAATTCCAGCCCCCAGTGAATGGTCTGTCCCTCCTAAACCTTGCCAAAAACCAGGTTGGCTTGTCCAACATCAACAGTGCCCTGGAGGACTGTGGACCTGCCTGGCTCATATATCAGACCACAGCAGCCAGAAAAGGATCAAATCAATTCCATTGCCAAGTCTATCAGCTCAGTGCCAACTCAGTCCCAGCAAGACCCCACTCACTTCCACCCCCACATGTGGAGTCCCTTGCTGGTTATTTAGACAAGCCCAGGTTTGATCAAATAAACTGAATGACTCTCCAATGGTTTCACACCCACCTTATCAAAATATTATGGTTCCTGCCTCTGCCGTGACCCTTCTAACAAACAGTGTAACTGTTGTTTGTGGCATTTATATGTTCATTTTCATAATTCACCTCATTCAAACAATCGTGTTTTTCGCAAGTATGTCTACATGAAAAGACTGGAGAACTATGCAGCTGTCAACATTGCTTTTCTAATATTTGCTAAGATTTTTAAGCTTTTCCAGGGGTAATAATCTCTTTTTAAAAAAATGTGGTCACTCAATCAATGACTGTGGGATATTGGTTGACGTATTTCGCCTACAAAACATAAGTCAATTCACTTTATAGTATATTCTGTGAAGTGCTTTGAGATGTCTTGATGACATTATAAGGCGCTATATTAAAATGAAAGGATTATTGTATAGTCCAAATTTCACTTCTGCATTCCTGACAAATTTAAAGTACTGGAAATCCTGTTTTTCAGATGAGACGTTAAGCCGAGGCCCTATCTGCCTTTTTAGGTGGACGTTAAAAATCCCACGTAATTCGAAAAAAAATCCCACGACGTGATTCGAAAAGAGTTTCTCTCTCTGGCCAACAACCAAAATAAAATTGGTCACTCACTCCACGGCTGTTTGTGGGATATTACTGGCTGCCACATTTTGCCCGCAAAACAGTCAATACAGTTGAGATGTCTCAAAGAGCTTCACAAAATATATTGTAAAGTGGAGTGATTCTTTATTTTCTGGGAGAAACACAGCAGCCAATTGCAGTGCCCCACAAATTGTCGTGGATTGAGTGATTTAACCAGAACTATTTGTTTGGTTTAAAAAAGGACCAATGCCGGAGTTCAATACAATTTTTTCGATAGGTTTGTTTTGTAAATCAGAAATCCCGAGAATGAATCTTCCTTTTAAACAGGTCCAGCAACTCGTTTGTGAGATATTGCCAGAATTTGTGCAGAATTCAGTTAGTACTTTATGGAAAAAAAATTCTTCCATTCATTTTCAAAACTATTCATAAAATGTTGGGCGCTGAGACCCGTCATTACAGAGCTATGTGCACACACTGACTTAATGCAGCAGACTAAACATCAATACTGGGCACGCCAAACATACCCGAAATATGAAGGCTATTCTCTCACCGAACTGTAGCAGTTTGGGCTGAAACCTAGCACATGCCATCCCACAAAAATATTACAAAATAAAAAGGCGCTCAATTTGATCACCAAAGTCTGTAGTGATCCTTCAAATGTCTGTCTGCATGTGTCTCTGTATCTCTCTCTGTCTCCTGTTACTGAAACGATGGA